GGTTATAAAAAAAATAGAGTATTATGAAACGAAATATAAATATATATGTAAAATAATAGAATTATACATAATTATAGAATCATACTATAAATGTTATGGTCATCTTTGAGGTCAAATCATAAACACATTAATTTAACGATAATAAAAGTCTGTCAGGAACTGAAGCTTCACTTCTCACATGCGTAAATATGAAATAAAATACATTTTTAAAAACGTGGAAAAGCAGTGTTTAAAGAAAAGCATTTTTATGAGGCCCAGTTAAACATGACTGAATACTATACTGGTATTTTTTCATGTAAAGACGTGTTGTGTTATTATGACGGAAAATGGGAAACAGTCCACACTGGCTCAAGGTACACAGCCTACATGGGCTGCATCTGTCCGTGTGTCTACCGTGCAGCAGGAGTTGCACAGCGTTGATAAAGTTGTGTTACATTTGTTTCTGTAATGACGTGTTGTCATCTTACCTTTACTGAGTGCGTGCGTCCTGCCGATCATGGAGGAGAGCGTGCACAGCCGCCTGCGCTGTGACTACACGAATAATCCACGGGTTTCTCTGCGGAGCGCTGCGCTCGACTTTCCACGATCATGTCCCGCGGCATTGTGGCGCAGTCCGGACTCTGGAGCTCCTCATGGCTGTCAGAGAGAGAGAGGGGGAGGGCGGGGGGAGCGGGGAGCGGGACCGCCGCTGACCGCGGGGCTAAGCCGAGCCGAGCCGAGCCTGAAGTGATCCGAGTGCGCAGAGAAGAGCTGCTAATCATGCGCCAGCCGTGCGTCCTGCTCCGCAGACAGGTGTGTGTCGACTAGAGCTGCAGATCCACTTCCAGATGTGTGCGTGGGTGTGAGTGCGCGCGTGTGTTCAGGTGCGCGCGCGTGCTCAGGTTCATCCCCTATTCAGAATCATTTTTCGGCACTGTTAACTAATATAATTTAGTTGTTCTGAAGCTCATATGAGGAGGGGTGGTTCTCAAAGTGTGGTATGCACCTCCTGTGGGGCTTAAACATGATATATTCTGGAATTTTCTAAAATGAATAATTAAATCCTCAATAATCCCTCATTCATTTTTCATAGATCACATGGTCACTTTATCCTGCATCTGTTCCAGTCACTCCCGGAAAACGGTGGAAAACAGTCCCAACAGGTGGCAGTAATGATGTAAACCTATAGCTTGTCTGTCGCCTTTAAAGGAAAAATTCGGGTGAAATTATGTTTCCTGTTAAATCCCATGCCCCCCCTCGCCCCAACTCAAACCTGACAAACACCGTGCGGTTGTACAGTTACAGCCTCAACGGAACAAACAAAGAGCAGGTCACTCTGACGTGGTCTTTACCTTAGGGGCCCCCACGTAAAAAAGAGACCTTCAGAGGTCTTGTTTTGCTCATGGCCAGAGACTTTGATGAGTTCATTTTGAGATATTATCTACAGACAAAACAACGTAGCACAACGAGATCGCAGTTGATTCAACTTTCTTCAATTACCTAATTTCTAACAGAAACGTTTGGTGAACAGTAATGGAAGAAGTGACTGAACATAACTCACTGACTAACTCACTAACTAACCTATTCCTTTCCAGCCCAGGACCAAAAAGCTCCGCCTCCACATCATCTGCAGCAGAACACCAGGTGAAAACCAGCAGGTTCAAAATCCTCAGCTTCTTCTCTGGTCAGTGACTCCTGACCCCCAGACTCGCCGTCAACCACGGTCCACTGTTTCAGAGAAAAACGTCAGTGTGATGGGGTGTGGGTGATGCGGTGGTGGCAGAGTCCTGACGGGGTGGGGCAGTGGAGCGGGAGACAGCAGCTCACGTGTGCAGTGAAGAGTGACCGCTCACTGCACTGCTTCAACCAAACATCCACTGTGGGCCACAGCTACAACTGAACGGAGAGAGGAAATCTGAAATCTGAAGAACCAACGACTGACCACCTTAGAATATTTTAGGTTACTTGAAATAAATTAAAAATACAATAAAAACGGTAAAGATTCTGGTGTACAGGTACAGGTACAGTTACAGGTACAGCTACAGAGGCAGCCTGAGCTGCTGTTGTAACTAATGATAAATGACCAAACATAAAAAAAATCACCAAGGAAATTTCTTAAAGTCTGTGAAAAAGAAATTAACACATATTTGAGAAAATGTCTCAGAAACATTTTTGACTCACATTGACCTCAAAGACTTTAAATCAAATTGTTTGCCTCCAACTAATGTTTTTTCAGAGCAGCTTTTTACG